CTTTGTTTTCCTTCCAGAAAAGGAACCAAACAGCATTTCAAAACATTCAATAGCTATTACTCCTAAACAGATGTCCAACTGAAAAAATAATGCAACTGTTTTTGTCATTTACTTAATCATATTTAGTTACTTTAACTTTCATGTTAGCAGGGCAGCACATAAAACAATTGTGTTAAAGTGATTAAATATGATTAAATAAATGCCAAAAGCGGTTGCATTATTTTTTCTGTGTGTAAATGATGTATGGCAAGCTGTAAACAGGATTTCTTACAGGATTCTTTCAACAATCACCGTCTTCTTGTCTCTCTTGCATCAAAGCCAGGATTGATGATGTCACAAGTCTTAGTTTTTCTTTTAACAGCTCCTCTGATGTTACCGTGGGGCTGTGTGCTACCTCTCTGATTAATGCTATCCTTGCCTTTCGGGTTAGCTGGACAGCCTTAGGTTTGCAGTTGTGCTTTTTCTATCTATTCAGATGGATTAAACAGTGCTCTATAGGAGGTTCAGGTGTGGGGGTGCTGCTTTAAACTTCTCCACTTTCTACCTGTCCTGTCTGCTCAGTTATTTGGTCTTTATTCACTAATGTTTTCTAAGGTTTTTCTGTGAGGGACTGCCGAGTCGATGCAATCAACTGGTTTTTCTTTGATGGTTTTTTTGTGCATGCACAAAACAGGAAAAAGGTTTCTTTGTGTTTACAGTTCAGTGCCAAAATAGAAAAAGGTCTAAGGGTGTGATTATGTTTGCAAGGTTCCACACACCAATTGATAAGTTCCTCTGTGAAAAGTTAAAGCATTCTGAAGCCAATTTATGGGATCACTGAAAACAGAGTGTTCAGCAATAGACTCTGTGCAACCATTAAACAACTGAGCTCTGGGAAGAAACTGCAGCTGCAAGCAGATTGTGCAAGCATGGGGAGCGACTCTATACCTCTGAGAATGTATCAAATATGGCATCAACTTAATCCCTTCATCTACAGGGCTCGGTAAACACCTGGGGAAATAAAAACAATAGAAATATGAATAACACAAGCAGAGAGCCGGCCTGCACAGAAACGAGGTCAGCTAATTTAATTTAAACCAGAGTAGACAAATATTTACTCCTGAAATTACCTTTTTTTCAAGTAAACAAGCATCACTGTAATCATAGAATGATTGCAGAGGAATTGTTCCCATCGGTTTTGATCCCTTCCTTGTGCACAAATTTATATCCAAGTTTTTCCTCCAACACATTAAAAACATTCATGCTGGTTGAATTAGATTCTCTGATATAAGATTAGGAGTGGGTGCAAGTGTGTGCATGGTTATGTGAATGTGTTGCTCAAAGGTGGACTACCGAGCAACCTGTCCAGGTTGTACCCTATGGAAGAAAAACTAATAATAATAATAATCTCATTGGAATCTGCTCTTTTTTATAAACCAAATTTTAAACACTGAATTTTTATCTGGTAAAAATTTGCCTGCAAAAATTTTGCTTGCAAGTGTGTTGACCTTTTTGTGAACTCCAGCCAAAGCAATCGACACTCAATGCAGTCAAGCAGCTTCTAGCCAATAAAATTAGCTCATTTGGTCATGTGACACAACAGTTGAGCATAGCTTTGTTTCCGACTAAATGAAGCTAAATGGGGAGTTTTTCCTGTTAAATAAACACGATTACAGAACGTCAGAATGATTGCAGAAAGGTAGCTACTAATAGACAGCCATTAGAGTTTTCATCTAATCGGACTGGGTGAAATAACTGAGTGGATCACAGCTAGTGTGGTTCTTCAACACATTTACAGGCAATGTTTTTGCATGTTAGTTTTCACCAGATAAAAATTCAGTGTAAGGAATTCAATTTATAAACAAAGTCAGTGTTTAAAATTCGGCGCCAAAAATCCTCAGCTTTCGAAATCCGGTGTTAAAATGAGACTTTTTTTTTTTTCATAGTACTCCACCTCTTACCCATTAACGGCTGTCAGGAACCAGCCCCCCAGCAACCATGCAAAGCTGGGAGGGGGGAGTAAAGTTGGGCAGTAAAAAAAAAAAAAAAAAAAAAAAAAAAAAAAAAAAAAAAAAAAAAAAACATGGTTTAATTAAACTTTTTACAATCCAGATCAAATTTTTAAGAGCAAGCAAAAAAAAAAGGAAACTAAGTGAGGTAATCCATAAATATGTACTTTGGATTTTATTGGACTCCAAAATATGACAATGGAAGGCAGTCACTGAAGACTTCCAGGATTCTAGAAATCAATTATTTATCATTATAAATAATAAAGGATATAAAATAAATTAATGATTAATGATTTTATAGATCACAAACTCTCCAAACTCCAAATATTGTGGTAAAAGGGCCTCAGATGCTTTAGATAGCAGAAAACACCTTTTAGGGTTTGATAAATAAGAAAAAGTTTCACAAATCAAAAGTTATGTTTTTAAAAAAGCTGACAGATTATTGATTTAAAATATTACAGTTGATCAGTCAGTAAGTTAATTAAAAAGTGGTGATTACATGCAAGAGGAAATGTTGATAAAAGAAAATCCACCTCTAGCATCATCTCTAATCCTCAAACCAGTTTTCTTTGCTAACTTAGGGGAGTGTTGGCCGAGTGGTTAGAGGAGTGCGCTTTGGCTCTGAGAAGATTGCAAGGACCCAGTTCGATCCCAACAGCCTAATCTAATCTCGCTAGTCCCTTGAATTTTGTAGAAGCGTGTCCCTTCCTTTCCAGTATCTCTTTGCCGCTCTTCATTTATGTCTCCACACCAGAACCTTTACCTCACATTTAATTAATCTAACTCTAGTTTCCACATTACTTTTATTAAGAGCCTGTTTTGCCAGTCTGTTCACTCTCTCGTTCCCCCAGATCCCAACATGAGCCGCCACCCAAATAAAACTTAACCTAAATCCCAAACTGACTCATTCTGAAGATAGTAATGAGGATGTTATAAAGAATATCATGAGGACTATTTTATAATTAATGCTGGTAAAGATTCTCAGTCATCCAGGTCAGAGTCATTCCAAAAAAGTTCAAAAACAATCCACTGGATTTTGTTACCAAGTACAGTAGGCAATACTGGGCAGTTGCCGAGGGCCACAAGTTCTTTGGGGCCGCATAAAACTCTGCTTACATGTATTGTTAATAAAACTACTCCTTATTTGTGCACATTAATTATGTTTTTGATAAGATTCCTTTCGCTAAAATACCATCAGAATGCTTATAATATTAAGTGTGTCTCACCGACCCCACAGGCCCCTCTAGCACTTTCATTTCAAAAAAGCACCTAGCGCCAAATCTAGCGACTTTTTGGAAACACAGGAAGGAGCAATCAGCTAAGTGAGCTTAGTGCTTGGAAAAAATCTTTCATTCCTTTAGAGACAGCATGAAAAGTCAGCTGAGGACAAAACATAGAGAGGAAAACAAGAAGAAAAGGGACAAGAAGAGAGGGACACAACCTAGAACAGATAATGGATGTCTATTCTATTAACATTTCTACATCTGGAGAATGGGGCTGTTTTATGTGTTGTCTTCTCCATTCAGAGGCCCCCTTCCTGTCTTTGCCTAGGGCCCCAAATTTCCTAAATCCGCCCCTGGATCATAATAAGGAACAGCAATGGACTAATACCGTTATCACTACATATTGGGTGGATAATGCTGATCCGATTCAAACTTGAATCTTTCTACCAAAAAGCAGAGGTGCCAATTAACAAAGTCCAAATATTTGGTTTCCTTACTTCAGTAGAAATGTTTCCTTTCATACTTTACTGGAGTAAATATTTTTTAGACACTATTTACTTCCACTCCTTCCTTTTTTTTTTGCAATTATTTCTACTTTCTACTCCTTTCATTTTTAAAATAGACTTGTTATTTAGTTTAGTTTCATTTAAGCTATTTTTTATGGCTTTTGGAATTTAAGAAAAATAAAAACCATCAAAATAATTGGTTTCATCCGGACAATTAATTTCTTTGTGGTAGGACTCGGTGCTGCCCCAACTTGTTGTTCACCACATACCAAACTAAATAGTTTTTAAAGATGATGCAAAGTTAAATTTGACGCTGTTACCATTAGTTACAAAACAAAGAAAAGATATAACTAGCATATTTTTCACATTTGTCACAAAGCGTAGCAATGACAAAGTAGCGCATAAGTGGAAGGAAAATATTTTACATGTTTTTTTACATATCAAAACATTGAAATGCATTTTACGTTTGTAGTGAGTCAACTTTATTTTTACAGCCCTATATTACGTCTAATTTTTAAATTAGTTTTGAACCACAAAAACCTTTAAAGTGGAAGAAGAAAGCCATCACTGAAAAAAATCAACTTCTTATGATCCATTTAGGGAATTAGAAAACATAAGATGGTGTTTGGTCTCATGAGTCGAAGTTTTAACTCTTTAAACTTGCAAAATATGGTGGAAATGAATTAAGTATGAAAAATAAACAGAATAATTGAATAAATAAAATCCATTGAATAAAAAAAAAACTAAGAAAATTAAGTATAAGGAAGTTATCATCCAGAATTCTACAAAATAATGTCTATAATAGGGTTGGGCAATAAGGTTTAAAGCATCAGGCCTTTACATTTTTTCCTGCATTACTTTTACTTTTACACTTTAATTAGTTTTAAAAACTGTACCTTTACATTATTCCTGGAGTAAAAAGCTGAAGTTGATCCTCTAATTTCTTCAAATGTGTTTTTTATCATTAGGATTTATACTTCTACCGGAGTAATAAACATTAATACCAAAAAGAAGACCGCCATCTCGTCGGTACACCCTCCGATCCTGATGGTGGCAGTAATGAGTCAAAGGCGCGTTATGACGCGGTTTAAATCAGCCAATCAGCTCAAAGCTTCTGTGTCGCTGCGAAGTTGAAATCCTGAACAAACAAACATCCAACAAACAGCTGCTGCTGCAACACACCGGATATATTTTCACTAAAAAAAGAAAATAAAGCAGCGAGCGACTGGCTGCAGATTATTAAAGGATTATTTCCCTTTATTTCCATCTTCGTCGGCGGTGACATGAGAGTGAGGTTAGTAGGTGTCTTTTTTATCCGTTTTAAGGAAATATTTCTTACTTTTTATCATCTTAGCCGGTTAACAATGTTAATATTTGATAAATATGTTACTTTAGCTGTTTTAATGTCGGTTGGAGTTTTGAAATGAAGTAGTTTTACAGAGTATCCAGTCGCTCTGCGGGTTTAGTTTTACTTTTTAAAGTATTTTTTGTGTTTTAATGACGTGTCCAGTGAGGTCCACGCTGCGGACTCTGTCAGCTACCTGAACGGGGCCCTGATGAAGCTGCAGGAGATCTGGGATGAAATCGGGATTCCTGAAGAGCAGCGGCTGCGGAGAACCAACGAGGCTCATAAACATGTTAAAGTAAATATAAAGGCAGAGCTTTTCTTATTGCTGCTTTTTTTCTTTCAGGGAAATTTATTTCAAGCATGTAAGAAAGAGAAAATAACATAGATTCCTTAACAGTAGACTAGTTGGGGGAAGAAAAAAAAGGGGGGGTAGATTTTATTTTTTAAATTTTTAGAATCATGCATAGCCTAATTAATATAATCTATTAACCTAAAGCTCTATGCATGGTCTGGTTGCTCCATGTCACTGCCCCTACATAGTTAGCATGGCTATAACTGTTAGGGTCTCATTTCCCACTGCGATCAGCTTCATAGCAGGGGCGGATTTAGGAAATTTGGGGCCCTAGGCAGAGGCAGGCAGGGGGCCCACTGAGCACAACAGCACCGAGTCCAACCACAAAGAAATTAATTCTCTGGATAAAACTAATTATTTTGATGGTTTTTATTTTTTATAAATGCCAAAAGGCCATAAAAAAATGAGCTTAAAGTTGTAGGAAAACTGCTGTTCCAACGGTTGCATTTCTGAATTCTCACGAGTGGTGCTCAACTTTACACGTGTGAATAAAGTGAATGTGATTGGTCGATTATCAAGGGGGCGGGATTGTTATGGTGGAATTTTTGCAAACATGTTTGTTTGTGGCCGGTTTATCTGGAAGCATCTTGCTAACCAGTTAGCAACTCAGTGCTAGCAGGTTCCCAATGGGAAATTCCATTGGGACCAAGTAGCACTAAACACACTTAATATTATCAGCGTTCTGATGGCATTTTAGCCAAAGGATTTTTATCAAAAACATAATTCATGTGAACATATAAGGAATAGTTGTATTAACCATACATCTAAACAGAGTTTAATGGGGGGGCCCCAGGAACTTGGGGCCCTAGGCACCTGCCTAGTATTGCCTGATGGTAAACCCCACCTCTGCTTCATAGTCATGATAGGACACTTCTGTGATTTGATTTATTTTTGCTCAGGCGACTCGTAAGCCCACAGCCTTCCAAATCTTGAAAGGGCAATATTATTGCCATTGCTGTTAAAATATAGTAGAAATTTTACACATTCAGTAATAAAATGTCACAGGGATGGTATGCCATCCCCCCCTCATCCCCCCCTCAACTCTAGTACTGACTACAACAGTACTGTTGTATTTTACATATTTAAAAAGTAGTGGGAAAAAGGGACATTTTAAGTTTACCCTTTCTCCAAAACTTCAGCTTCCTTATTTTAAATTATGCAAGGCCTTCAATACAATGACTTCATGATCTATTTGCATACAGGTTTCTATATCAGTAACAGAAATGTTCCATTGATTATGGATCATTATTTATACCTAAAACTAATACGTTTGCATTGGTTTAATAAATTTAGTGTTAATCAGTAAAAAGATAACAATAATAATTTTCGTCGTGATCACTGAGTCTGGGAGCGGCCATTTTTTCCCAAATATAGTAGCCCCTCCCTCCT